ATGATATGTGATTCCACAGCTGTCACGAAAGCTGATCGTCCGTTAATTTGCAGGAAATTACTTAGTGTTGCAAAGCCTAAGGCACAGAAAATTCGCTTCGTATCTTTACTGGAGGGCAAGAAGGGTACTTGAAGCCTTGCAACGTTTGACATAAGATTAAAAGAAAAGTTTTATTGCATTTGTGATGAGCAAGAAATCTTTAAATTTATACTTACCGAAATGTTTTTCAAATAAATTGACGAACGCTGTAAACGGTTATCCGTTTCAATTATGCCATTCTAAATCCCTTAACACAGCAGGATACCAAACTCTCTAAATGTGGTATGCGTTATAAAAATAGAAAAACAGAATCTGCCATCATACTTGAATTATAAATTCATGAGATGCACTGACCACGGGGTGATTTTCAGTTTAAACTTTTCAAACCAAACGGCGCTGTGCTATAATCGAATGTGCTGATTCGCCCATCTCACTTCCCGCTGGGAATATAAACAAGATGAAATTTCGGTGATGCTTCGGCTTTGGTGTTGTAGAAGCTCAGAATGTATTATTTTAATTCAAGGAATTTCATACAGAGTTCCCTAGGATTGAATTAGTTTGCCTCGTTGTCACTAAGAAGAATAGTGAGGTTCAAAAGGTTTTAATCGTCCCTTGTTTATTTTCGTGAAGGCAGATAATGACTTTTAAATTTGTTTCCATAGGTTCTGAGGAAGTAATTACTTCCTCATTTTTTAGTTAAAGTAGGTAATATTTTGTAAGTTTACAGATAATAATTTGTAATAAATAATATTTTTAAGAATGTGTAGGTAATGCCTATTTTAAATTAAGTATTTTGTAAATTTTTTATGCGAAAGTATTTTAAATGCTTTTCCGCCTCAAAAGTATTACACACTTTCAAACATTCACACCTTCTCCGGGATGTGAATCCGGGACCAGTCGATGCCCTACCACTATACCTACAGGGCAACTGACGCTAAGGTTTAGTTCACTAATAAAAAATCTGATGTGTACACCACATGACTTCCTTGCACAGAATATTAAATCATACGAATTTTTCTTGCATTTCATTTAAACTTATTGGATTGAATTAAATTTACATCGTCGATAGCGCATAAACCACAGTAGAATTCCACAGCATAAACCACAGCACTTTTTGCCGTATAAACCACAGCACTTTTTAAAATTCACTTTATTTGTTTACCATAGCGACACTTCGGTGCTAGGTTGGTTCACTTAACAGAGTTACATTTCGTCCATATTATAACTCAGAATGCATATAAATTTATATCGCTTGAAGAATTATCTAATCGTTGTGACATGTTCTATTCAAATACTATAATAAATCTGAAACGATGTATAAAAGAAATTAAGCTAACAAAACAAAAAAGAAACAGTTTTTCACAGACGATTCAGTATTTCTCATTCAATTAATTCAGTTCTCACCTCCCGACAAGGCAAAAATACATAAAAACTCAAAATATGTATATTAAAAATTACGAAGTTAATTTGAAACGCTTATTTCCTGGAATAAATTCCAGAATGGATTAAGCGTGATTTAATTCGCAATGACAAAAAAAGGTGTTATCTTTGTTGTTGCGAAGCTTACTTTCTCTAGATTGGCAACAAATCCGCTATTTTGCTAAGTTTGAAATGTAAATAAACATGTCCGCAAATTCATTAGGCTTAGCTGCACTTAAACAGCTAAATTGCTGATAACTCCACAAATATTGCATGCAGATTTACTAAAGGCATAAAAACCTTAACCGGAAGATAACACCAACATAATTAATCATTTTTAAAGCACAAAATGCACAATTTATAAACATATAAGAATAAAGAAACTGAGCTCACTGAGCCGAGTAACAGAGTAGACATATATACATATAATTCATATATACTTTTGGTGCGTCCGATTGGAACCAAAATACGCGGTTCACATCTACGTGTTATAGCAGTCCTACATACAAAATTGCAACTTTCTGAGGCTACACGTTTTTGAGTTATGCGAGATACGTACATACATACGTACGTTCGCCCAGACGTCACGAAAAATTCTTTTCAGAATTCATTTTAAATCAGTTTTATAATTTTTTTGTGGGAAAAGAGTCCTTTATTCTGTCGTTACTTGCGTATATGACGCAAAAACATCATTAAATTGCATTGGATAGCGGTCAAAATCGATATTTTCGTTGAAATATGATACCCGAAATTTTTCGCGATTACAATACTTCCTTTTTACTTCGTACAAGCAAGTAAAAATGCAGAAACATCTAAAGCAGTATAATATTATTATTTGAAAAAAAATTATCAGGTATATATGATGTTTGATTACATAGTATTTACTGTACATTTAAGTCTTATATAATAGGATTACAATGGACCGTGACCCTCATTAATAATGCAAATATTTATTAATGACTCGTAAAAAAGTTTCTATTAACAGGACTTAAAATTTCATTTGAAAACATCCTACTTGTTCGTTCTATCTAGAAGGAATTTTTAACACTATTAACTGTTATATGTAATTAAGATTAGCAAATATAAAATCAGTGTATTTTAAAGTTTTTATTAAATAATTAATTTTAACTGGAGCTCTACTAATTAAAATACTTGAACAACAGTGAATTTAAAATATACCGGAATATTTTACTAATATACTTAGTTAAATAAGTGACTTAGTATATGTAATTTTATGTACATAACGAATTTATATAGGTAACTCTATACACATAATGACTTTATATACATAGATCGATATTATTACTCTATATAAGTAATTTAATATTTTAAGCTTATTAAATACATGGAGGAAATTTCTTCAAGTGTTGATTGTTTTAGATTTGCGGATTTTCTATCCTGATGAAAGAGAAATATATGTTATTAATTTACGGTGAAGTAATATTGTAACGATTCTTTTTCCCCGTTTTGCTTTGCCGTTTTGAACAGCTTATTTTAAATATAAGATTTAATTTCTATATTTTTAATTTCTGAGAGAACAATTAAGATTCAAATAACTAACAAAAAAGATTAAAATTTTATTCGTACCATAAACTGAAATCATACCAAGAATAGATTGTAATTTCTTTTTAATCTTATAATTTTTTTATTCTTATAATCTCATAATTTAATCTTAAATTTAAAAGACCTTTTTAATATTTTAATTATTTTTTAAATTTAATGTTAAACTTGTCTGAGCAACAGATTGTAATTTTCAGACGGTGAAACTTTAAGTGAAACTTTCAGACGGACTTTTTTCAAAAGTTTGCTTTGAAATACAAAAATAAAGAACTCATGATATCAGAATAAAAAGGCTGCTTCGGAATTCCAAATTAATTGCAAACTGTTACCATTGAACTTCTCTTTTTCGTCCTGTTATCAAGGCAGTCAGTCTATTTCTTCAACCCTTGTTAATAACGCATAACGGAAGAGCATTCATGTGTGAAATTGCATTTCTTAAAATCTTCTGTACCATTTTAACAAATATTGATCCAAGAAATGCAATATATTATGCTGGAAAAGATTTTAATTCCTTTAAAAAGCGTTTACGTAAATACGGTTAACATTATGAATACAGTATTTTAAATTATTAACTTCGTGGTAGAAAGGCTAAAATCGATTGAAAATTAACAATTGAATTCCATCAACCAGTAATGATGATGGACTAGCTAACTAACATTAGTTTAAAATAATGATGTCTCTTCATTAACAGAGACTTATTAATTTAAAAGTCAAACAACAAAAATCAGCGTTATATTTGTAAATTTTCGCAGGACTAGATTCAATGGTTTTACCGAACCATCATCCTCAGCTGCCAAAGCGCAAATGAACGAGATAAGAATCTCGTTCTTATCTCGTTCATTGGCAGCTGAGGATGATAGTTTGGTAAAACCATCGAACATAGTCCTGTGAAAGTTTCCAAATATAACATTGATTTTTGTTTTTTGATTTCTAAATTAACACTTGTTCGGCGTGTTATTTTATCTTAATTAATAAAGAGACTCTTTATGCATTTTTAGGAGATTTTGCTTTGGTATTAAAAAAATCGTCTGCTTGGAATTTTTTTAACTGCATCTACATTTTTCAAGTGTAAATCATCGGATCTAGGACTTTTCGCCATCGCCATTTCATCATGGCCGTTTCGCCGTCGGCGCAATTCACTCAAGACATATTTTTCTTTACATGGGTGTATTATATATCGCCGTATTATACTCGTATTAAATTTATTTAGTTTAATTATTGTGTTTGCAAAAGTTGATTATAATGTATATACTTGTTTTCCAATATGAAATATAAAGATATTATACATAGTTAGTCAGAAAATTATGTCAGTATCAAAGAGAACTGGGGTTAAACCTCTGATATAACACAAGTTATATTATCGATTTCAAAATTATGCAGGTGCAGTTTTTACACGATTCGTCAAACTTCTTGAAATTTTAATCGCTAGTTCATAGAAATCGCTTATGCAAGCAGGAAATTCACATTTTTATGAAATCTGAATTGAGAACGGAATTATTTTGGAATCTTGTCAGCACATTATTCTCTTAAAATTATTATGTCATGCGTAACGATGTATTTGCATAAAATTGTATGCAAAAACATTGTATATTTTATTCAAAAGCTTTTAATACGAGGAATTTGGTAAACTGTAAATGTTAACAAACCGTCTGGTTCTTTAAATGACAGAAATTTAGAAAGTTGTTTTATGTGATTTGTTTAAAGTACTTACAAGAAATTGCAAAAGGTTTTTTTTCCCTTTTAAAATTTAAGACAGCCAAAGGTATACAATAGGAAAAGAAAATCATTAAATTAAATAAACTTTATAATATAATATGGCAAGATATAGGCATATAAAGAAAAATATCTCTTAAATATACACTACGTAAACAGAATTATTAAACTAAACCTTCTTAGTATAATGCGTCAGGATATATATAATACAGTCATGTTGTAGAGACATTGGGATTTTTTTGGAAGCAGGAAAGATGAGAAAGGAGCAATGCCTTCGCCGGGAATCGATCCACAGACCTCTGGAGTATGCGTCCAGCATGCAAACCACTGCACCACGAAGGCACGCTAAGAAGGCGGAAGAAATACCTTATATACTCACCCTTTTAAAGGGCGACTGGGTTTTAGGGAAAAAAAGATTAAGATTAAAAAAAAAGGGATTTGTTTACAATAAAACAATAAATAAAAAAATAAACAATTAATTAATAAAACAAAAGCAATAAAAAAATAAACAATTTAAAAAGGGATTTGTTTACAATAAAACGAGTACCTTAGTTTTGCTAGCATAATTCGTTCTTAATATCTTCCTTTAATGCAATCAACATCATAGTAATAAGATTAACTACTGCAGCTCAGCCGTTCTATGAGCTATGCTGACATATTTAGATTTTCCATATCTTGAAAGCGAACGTTAAAATCTTTTAAATTTTGCAAGCGGCTTGTACATTACAGTATACCTTCTGAGAAAGTTTTGTATTTTTTGGTTGTGTTTTCTTGTGTTCCTGCATTTTACTTTTTTATATTACGCTTTTTGGATAAAAATATATATATTTAAAAAATATTACTGATTTTTAAAGTATATTAACCATTTTTTGTATATTTTTCGCTTGTATTTACTTTATACGATTTCTACCTGATTACATGATATAAGCGTTGTACCAGTAAGCAATTAATTATCAATTTTACAATATGAGTACTTTTTCATAATCAATGGAATCTTCATTATGACGATCAAATGCCTGTGCCTATTTAGTTATCGACTTTTCATCGATCCACTGAAGGCCGTTGATCACCTATAAAATTTCATCTACCCCAAGGGGCAGTATCCACCCTGTTGCAACCCCCCCCCCGTAGTGGAAAGCAACTTTCCTACATCTACCAAAACATATGTCCATTACTTTAATATTCTCACGACTTCTTTTGTTCCATGTAATACCCTCACTTGTTTTTATGTATTATGCAAATCATTGAAGCGACTTCTAAAATCTTGCGATGTCGGCTGCTCCCATACCTCGATACTGCGTGAACATAGACCTGTATTTTCTGTGTTAATCTTTTTATCATTTGCTGTACTAATTTTTAGTAATACAGACTAGTAACACCAATGTTTGCAAATGTACACTTGGATACAAAGACAAGGAATTCTGAAGCAATGTTACAAAGTCTACCTTTTAGTGGGAGACTGGTTGTAACTAGGCTTTGTCTAATTATAACCAGTTTCTTACCAACGGAGCACTCTATTAATCCATTAAAACATCTCTTCACTCAAGTTCATGTATTTTGCCTAATGCGAGCAAGCAAATAACTTAGCGATTTTATTTTTAACTATTTCTTTGTCATCGACTTCTTTCCTTCCTGCTGCAGATGTACCATCATACTTTCTCCCTGCCTTCAACATTATCGAATTAATTTCTTTCTCTGTCTATACCATCACTCACAACATTTATAAGACATTTTCTCTCTCCTTTTCGCATGCCTTCGTGGTGTAATTAGAAGAATACCTGACGCATGTTCGAGAGGTTTCAAGACGCGGACGCATATTTCACAAGTGTACATCAGCGTAGTCACTGAGGGAGGGATTTCGAAAATGGACCAATGAGATTTTTGTAGCGCTAAATCTTCGTGCATGTGAGCATATGTTGTTTACGTTTTAATTTGTATTTGTTTCGCAATTATATTAAAAGTACGGCGTAATAGTTGAAAATCTCGTAGTGCTTTCGTTTTTTGAGTTTAATTAATCGCTGGCATTTCATTTCGCGATTTTTACCACGCATTAATATTTGGATTGATGTTCAAGTTATACACTCATGTCCATAAATTAAGGATAATTCGGAGTCACACGGAAATCGAACTCTAAAATAATATATCACCTTAAAATCACTACACACTCTTCAAGATCATATGCAATTCAGGAAGTAACCAGATAACCGATGGTACGTCACAATGACGAGAGTGTAAGAGAGTGATATATAAGTCATACAGGCAAAGAAGAAAATTTTCGCAGCGCTTTATAAGCATTTCAGTGCAATAACCGAACATTATGACACAAAGGACGCACTGGATGATTTTTCTGTGGTAGAATTACGGCCGTCTGGAATGGGCGTACCACTGGAAGTATCAGACGAACTTGGAATGCCCAAGTGTCATTTCTAGGCTTTGGAAACGATTCCAAGATGATGGTAATGTAGTATACGTTTACAGCACAGGTCGCCCCAGAGTTACAACGCCGAATGGGACCGGTATTCGGCAGTTACTGCAAAGAAGAGGCAGAGGACAGCCACACCTGTCTCTCAGCTCCTTCAGCCTGGTACGAGAATTTCAAGGCAACAGCGTACAGACGCTTAGGCAAATTGGTCTATATGCTCGTAGACTTCAGATGCTTTTCACTTACTGCAACTCACTCTCCCCTGCGGTTAGCCTGGAGTAGAGAGCATGCATTTGGACACCGAACAAACGATTGTGTTTTTCCGACGAGTCCATGTTTAGCTTGCTGTCTCATTCTCGCCGGACTTTCATACGGAGAGCTCCAGGTACCCGTTACCACCAGAAACATCATTGAACGACACCGTTACGGTGGTGCAGGATGCTCGTTTGGGGTGGAATTATTCTGGGTTGCAAACTGACCTGCATGTTCAAATTGGAACCATGACGAGCGAAATCTATCGGACATCATTTTGGAACAACATGTACGTTGTTTCGGGGCGCCAGGGCGCACAATTTGTCTTTATGGATGACAACGCCCGTCCTCACCGTGCAACATCGTAAGCGAATGCCTTCAATCGGAGGATATCACCCGTATGGACTGGCCGCATTCTCACCGGATTTGAATCGAGTAGAGCACGTGTGGGACATACTTGGCCGAAAGTTGCAGCCCGTCAACCCTCCTCCTACTGTCTACCGGAACTTCGGAGTTGCCTTTTGAGTGGTGTAATATCCCCAAGATCAGATCGATAATTTGATATTTAGCATGCCTAGGCTTTGTACGGACTGTATTGCATCGTGGGAGACATACAATGTATTAACAATCATACCAACCATGTAATATGGGTTTTTTGTAAATAGGTGTTTTTTGTAATTTGCTCCAGGGAGAAAAAATCGCTAATTTTTTTAATATTATCAAACATATAGCATCCTTTTTGCTCTTTACCTTTTGTTCAATAATTAAGCTTTACAAATAAGTCAAATTTGTTTTGCTTCTAACTCTTCCTTTGCCTGATTTTGCATTAATCTTAATTTATGGACATGAGTGTATTATCGCTCTTTACATCAAGAAAATGGCTCAAGCTACAATTAGCCTCGAATATTATGAATTTCCTAACACTTGTGGATTAAGAGAATTCAACAGTTTTTTTTTAAAGAGCTAAGAAGGACTGGAAGTGTTACAATGAATCTAGTGTTTTCTTATTTCAGTGCTTGCATTCTTTTGATTTTTAAAGTGTTAGATTCAGAATACATATTGTGTATGATCTGATTATATCCATTGTTAATATTAAAAGTTGTAGGTGAATAAACTGATTATATTCGTTGTGAATGTGATAAATTCATTATGTTTGATGAGTATTTCTTGTGTAAACAGTACATTTAAGAGTGAGCAGTTATTAAACGTGAAATTTAACACACTATATGTATACGAATGCAAATTAGAAAAGTTAACTTTAGTTTAGAAAGAAGAAGAAAAGAAAATTTTATTTACACGTAATATTTATAAGTACAAAATACTTATAAATTTTTACAGCACATTTTGTTTTTATTAGCACGAATCGAAATTAGAATTTTTTTATATGTATACTTTTTGTATATATTTTTGGATTTATTTCAAATTTTTCAGCTAGGTAGTGAAATCTTCGTATCTGCTTTGATCTAACTTCACAATGAAAATTTTCAGAAGAAATCGACGATGCTTTAATTATATTGTACAGAAAACTGCGTGGCAAAATATTTTCAACCATCTTACTTAAATCTTAAAGCACGCGAAAGGTCATGTGACATGACAGAAATATCACTGGACGCCCATTGGTCAAGCCTAGAAGCCACTCCCTCGGTGGCTAAACATATGTGCACTTGTGAAATATGCGTCCCGGGACAGGACATTGCACCCAGCTCAAAAAAAAATTCTAATGACCCATTAATCAGCAAAATATTTCTTTCTTCAAGTTGTTTAAATGCATTTGAGATTAATTAGGATAGGTATTCTTGCAAACAAGATTTATATTTCTGTCAATTAAATGCTGATTATGTTATTGTCCAAATCATGATAATTAATGTCGATTGTTAAATTACTTGTTCTTGTCAGTGGCTGTTTAGTAATCATCATTAGAAACTAAATACTTTCAGCTCTTATTTGAAAAAAAGGGCACACTAATTTTTCTGCATCAATTTCACGCTTTTTAAATAGCTTCATATATCAGCCTGGAGTACCAACCACTCGCTAACTACTGGAACAACTTTCAGTACTTTTTCAGTTTCCATTGCTAGAAAGTAAAAACAAAAAAAGAAACTCTAACAGTGGTGGTACACATGGAGGGTCAGAAGTTGACGTTTTGAGGATCTACAGTTGAAAGTGCGAAACCCTTCGCCAGATGCTGCTCGCATCTCCAAAACAAAAGATCATCTCCAAAAACAAAAAGGTTTTGACTGTATTAATTATCCAATGCCCTCAAGAAACTTTTGGCATCAAAGTGGTGATTTACGAAGTAGCATGAACAACGGAAGTATTGGATGTGCTTCCTGAAAATGAATAATTTCCTGAACGTGAGGTAGAAAATTTTCATGCTCTCAGCTGTTTAGGTTTGAACCGAAAATAGATTTGGTTTGCATGAGAATTGCCGAGAGTCATAAACTTACTCGATAATATATTGATTTATTTTTATAAAAATTGTGCCAGTAGATTTTACTTGAACGGAATTATTTAAGAATTTGAATTTAGTCGCTTCAAAAACATCGATAAAATCTGTATAGTTTTCCACATTTCTAAGACTTTAAACATACGTAAACTTACCTTTAGTCCAAAGAGGCAATTTGCCCTGAAGGACTTTTAATTTTGTTTTGGCATTTTACATTGAAAA